CCCCATGTCGTGCTTAACTTCTGTGGAGGATGCTGTTCACCAGTGGTGCCTTACCTGTGGTTGGAGTGGAGCAAATCCTGAAAAATCATCCTTGTCCACCACGGATGCCACCACCTAGAGCCAAAGACAGACAGGTAGTGACTTGGTGCTTGTAGACCTCTCTCTGCCCTCCTCCTTTGCTGTTGGCCAAGCCAAGCTCCTCAGGATGATTTGGGTTCAAGAGGGACTGTGATTTTAGGCGAAGCGTCTTTCACTAGAGGCTGAGTGGTTCTGGCACCAAAACTCACCTCTCAGCTGTGGCAAGATCTGGGGTCTCAGCCCCACCATTTCTGCCGTTAGTCATGATAACCTAAAAGTTTCCGTTTATATTTTAACAACAAATGTTGAAGGGAGTAAAAATCATCATAGAATCACAGAATGGTTTGGGTTGGAAGGGATCTTAAAGATCATCTAGTTCCAACCCCCCTGCCATGGGCAGGGACACCTTCCACTAGACCAGGTTGCTCAAAGCCTCATCCAGCTTGGAATGTCCAACTGTAGCCCCTACCTCCTACAGGCAACTTTAAACATTGTTTAGAAACTTCATGAATGTCTGTGTGCCAGTTTCTGAGGATCCCCTGACAACCAAGAAGCTACTTGGCTCTTGGTTGTCCAGTTCCCTAGTGCCTGCAAGGCTGGTGGGTCCTCCCAGGGCCTGAGCCCATGGGGTATATCCCAGTATTCCAGTGCTTGGATTTTGCACTCGTGGGAGACAAGCTTTCTCACTTATCTGAGCTGAAAAACCCTTTTCAAACAGAGCAGGGGAAGAACTGGGGGTCATTTCTGGGTGCCAGATTTTAAATAGCTGCTTTCTTCTTCTTCTTTTTTTTTTTTTCCCCCTCCCTAAACAAAATCTTGGCTCGAGCTGAAGCTCCAGTGGGACCTTTCCAGCCCGTTGCTGACTGACTGTCCCTCATGTCTTGCTAAGGAGAGAAACTGAAAATAGGCCATGCTCTGCAGAAATGTGATTTTAGGTCCTCTGTTCCTACAGCCACCCTGTGAGAACCCTGTGTGCCATCTCTCCTTCCACGCCTGGGGAGATCCCTGAGGCCCAAGCCAGCCCCATATATTCAGCGGCCCACCAGGCAGCAGCGCAGGGGGGGTGGAGAGAGAATGCAGCTCCCTTCAATCCGCAGGCTTGACCTGAGTAAATAACACACTTCTTTCTTACCATAGCCTTTCCCAGGTAGTCCTTCTTCTCCAGCTGAGCCACTTGCTTTTCGTTTGGTCTAAACAGCTTTCCCGCTGGAATGGCCACCAGCTCGCAGAGCTTCTGCTTCTGTAGCACAGAGAAGTCTTATCACTCTTCAGAGTGAGAGCAGGGGCTGCTTTGCTGGCCCCTTCCTTCTATCTCTGGGGTTAAGGTCTTGCTCCGTAAAGTCAAAACACCACCGTGACAGCCCGACCCCAGCCCTGACATGGTCTGTTTAGCCTGTTCTTCCTATCCCTGCTTCCCCAGTGACTCAAAGCTCTTCCCACCAGCCTGTGCCTCAGTACGACGCCCACATTTTGCTCAGCCCTCTCTGCTAAAGCCATAGCTAAAAGGTGGCTTCTCTGTCACTGGGATTTTCCACCGTCCTCCTTGCGGGGCTGCCGTGAGCAAACACGGTGGCTGTAAGACTTGCTCTTCCTCACCAGGATGGCGTCCATCGCCCTCTCAATCTTGTTGTGCTGGGGCTCGCTCTTCATGCTCACGGCCAGCGTCAGGTATTCCTCAGCTTTCTTCCAGTCCTCCGTCGTGGCGTACACCAGCGCGATGTTATAGAGTATCTGCCGGAGGGGTGGGAGCAAGGAAATGAGCTCTCTAGAACTCCCTCCATTGCCAGGAGGGAGGGCAGCAGGCAGTGGCACTGCACCAGCTTTTTTGCAAGGCGTGGAGAGGTCGGTTGTTTTCTCCTTAGATTCTTTTGAGCTGGTGAACAGACCTTTGGGATCAAAACTGCCGGTCAGGCCTTCCTCACCTCACAAGCAAAGAGCCGGTACCGCAACCCCAGGATCTTGTAGTCGATGAGCTGGTTACCTCGCAGCTGGGCCAGTGCCTCTTTGAAATCCTCAATGGCCTTTTCATGGCTGTGGAGCAGAGGACAAGGGCATCACCACCTCGTGGTGGCAATCTGCCAGCCTCTAAGTCTTTACTTAAACTTGTGTGAGTTTAGTTGGGTCTCTCCTATCTCCTTGAAGTGTTTTTGGCCACGCCAGGGGAGAAGGGGAGATGCTCCAAGGCTGGTGTTAATCCCAAGACTATGCTGCTGTTCTACCTCGAGGGGTTGCAGTCTGGCCCCTGGGGTACCAGCCTGCCTGGGACTTTCCTCAGCCAAAGGCTGGCATCTCTGCAAGCAGCAAAAAAAGGAAACTTTAAACCCTTCCACTCACTTCTGCCTTCGGTAAAACACGGTTGCCCGCTGGAAATAAGCCACGGCCAGGTGCTTGTCACAGCCAATGCTCCGAGTGAACGCCTGCATGGAGGTAGGAGTGGAGCAAAAAAGGGATGAGAGAAAAAAAAAAAACACACCAGCCCAAAACTTTAAGAACTGAGGACACAGAGTAGTTAAACCTGTCCTGCTTTAGCCAAGAGCTCAAGCTGGGCTTTGTGGGCTACATCTCCCGGCAACGCTGGGCACAGGGTAGTGGAGCCTGTACCAGGCTCCTAAGTTTTTTAAGCTGGAACCATCAGCCACCACTTCCTCGGCAGCTTAGTGCCTCTGCGGTCACTTCTGGGAGTGAGGAAGCACAAGCAGCAAGCCCTGCACCTCTTCTGCTGCTTCACCCCTGATTCATTGAGAAAACAGGTTCAGCAAGAACAGCCCAGGGGCGTTAAGCTTTATCCCAGCTTCAAAAGGCCCTAAATCCTACCCTTAGCAGACTGTGGCTGTTAATTCCTCCCTTCCCCACCGCGTCCAGCTGTCTGTCGGGTCTGTGTGCAAACTCACCGACACCTGCGTGCAGGGTAGCGACCATTCAGGGCTGGACCTTACCTCCTCCGCCTCGGGCAGCTTCCCCAGAACAAGGTGGATGCAGCCGATGTTAAAGCAGATTTTGGCAGGGGGGTTCTGGACGGCTGTGAAAGCATCCAGGGCTGCCCTCCACTCCTTCCCGTCCGCTGCACACACCCCTTCTTGCCACAGCCGGATCGTCTCCACCAGGGACATGGTGCACTGGGAGTGGGACGTGGGGTCTCTGGCAGTGTGGTGGGTCTCGTCCCCCTCCTTGTCCTTCCTCTCGGCGCTGCTCGGCCTCTCTGGCTCCCTTCTGCCTGTACTTCTGCCTTCCCCGCTGCCGTGTCGCAAACCGTGTCGCAGGAAGTGGCCTCGCTTGCGTCAGTCAAACGCAGCCCCAGGATGGGGAAGCGGGGCAGAGATTGCTGCACCGCAGCGGGTTTCCGTGCGGAGCTGCCACGGGTTGTACCACGCATCGCGGGCCGGGTCCTCTCCGGCAGCCACTCCTCAGCTCTTCGGGTTTTGCTTCTCTGGGTTTTTAATGAAAAGCTGTGGATTTTGTCTGCTGGGCGATCAGGTCAAATGTAGGGTTCCAGAGCCACAGGGCGGGGAGCCCCTTGTGCTCTCCAAAACATGGTCCTCAAGGGAGGTGGTTGCTAAACGGTTCCTGTAGGCATCTCCCGGCAGGCACGGCTGCCTGCAGCGGGGCTGGCACTGTCCTGCCAGCCTGCCCAAGCCGGGGAGGGTGAAGTACAGCCCAAGGCACCGCCTGGGAAACCTTTTACCCTGCCTGACCTCACCAGGTCGCCCCGGTGAGGAGCTCTGCGGCTGGGGGTGTGCGGAGCTGCCCAAGGATGGGGGTTCGGGGGGCAGCGGCCGTGGCAGCAGCGAGGGTAACTCGCGCTCAGCCCAACATCGCTTCTGTCAAGGTGTTCTATGGCCAACAGTGGAATCTGGCTCTGGAACGCTGCTGGGAGGACGGGGGGAAGGTGAGCACGAGGCAGTGCAAAGGCAGCCACGGCAGGGATCTGACCCACTGACTCAGATTGGAGCTGCGTGCTCCACACGTGGTTTCTTAGTTGTTTTGTAACTATTTTGCCTTTGCCTCATCTACTACATTTGCGATGCAATGTGTATTTTGTAAGGGCTTAAAATATGTCAGTAAGACCTGGCCCTCACGCGTTTACTCACACTTCCCCAGCGGATTACATAAGGGCAACAACAGGAGGGAGACTGTTGTTGGAGGAGGCTTTTCTTTGACTTCTGCTCAGGAAGAAACCTGAGCTGCTGAAGAGCAAGGATTTGGTTTTCAAATCCCCAGTAGGACCCAGCGCATCCCTGAACCTCTCTTTGCTCCTCCAGTTCCAAGTGTGCCCTCGGCATCCCTCTGTGCTCCCATGGCCTTCCTATGGAGACTGACCTCCAGGAAAGTAGAGGGAAATGCATCCAGCCAAAGTGATGCTGAAGGGGAGGGATGGGAATAACATGGTGAGTGTGAAAATGCCCCTCGGAGACACCTTTCCTCGTTCGTTTGAGGAATGGGAGACCCCATCTCACAGGAAATGGTTCACCTTATCGTAATTTTCTGCTCGTTTAATTATCTGAATGGGCACACTGGTAGGGTCATGTTGATACCAAAACTGGTACAAGGGGGGCTGGAGGAGCATGCGAGACCCACCCCTGTGACAAGCGTTGGGGCTTTTTTCTTGCATTTAGCAGAAACAGATCTGACAGGTGCAAGCGCAGCAAACACTTGGGGCAGCTATCATTCTGCTTGGTTATATTTAATGTCACGTTCAAGCAACTTCACAGCTGTGATAAACACAGCCCTTCTAGTGAATCTCATTTCCCTTTCTTTTAACAAGTTGATTTAGTAGGCAAACCTCTCTTCTATGGTAACTTCCAAGAGGAAGTGAGTAACAGATGGTGACACCTCCCATGGGAGATTCCTGGAATCTAGCACAAACACAGATCGCGAAGAGATGGGTCAGAAATACATAGAAATGCCCAAAATCCAGCTAGGGTGCAGTAGTAATTTTTAAACTCATACAGGAACAGTATGCAGGAGTTTATCATCACTTCTGGCGAGGAGACCCAAAAAAAAGACTGATCCGAGCACTAGAAAACATTACGCATGAGGAAAGACCTAGGGGATCGACCTTGTTCAGGAGAACTGTGGTGCAGGAGGAGTGGAGGAGACCGTGTCCAGCGCCTTCCCTGGAGGGCAGGTCTGAGTGCTCGCTGCACAGCACCCGAGTTGCTTTGGCTCGCTCCCTTAACAGTCGCAGGAGCCCACGGGAACTCCCGGGCCAAGTGACGGATGACTCGGAGCCCAGGGCTTGGCAAGGGCTGCAGCTCCGGGCAGCAGGAGGACAGCAGTTTCTCTCAGCTGTTACAAAAGCAGGATGTAACTGCTAAGGTGCCGTTGCCACACGCTCCGGCCAAAGGCAGCTGCGAGGGGTTTGCAAGAAAGCCTTGGAAACACGGAGGCTTCTTAGCAGAGCTCTGCAAACACCTATCCCCTGCGGCCACTCCACCCTGCGCACATTTATCACGGAAGGCTTCCTTCTAATAGTAAGGGAAAATTCACTGCAAAATGAAATTGTTCAGGGATTTTGTTTTTTCTTCCCTGCCCATCTTTCTGTTTTCCTCTTAGAAACCAGTTGTGCCATACTACTCAAAGGAGGAACAACCCCCCACCTCTGCCTGGCTGTGTGGAAAGGGCCGCTCTGCCATGGTGAGTGAGGACAAGTGGTGTTCAGGGCCAAGAGCCGAGGCCTCCACCAGCCCCAGCTGCTGTGGGACGGCTGCTGGTTGGAGATGGCTCATCCTCTCCATCTTATGGGCTGGTCCCATCCCTGGACTTCGCTGCTGGAGCATTTAATGCCATGCTGGTGGATTTTGGCTGTGCCGGCAGCACTCGGGGCCATGTGCCTGCTGGGGATACCACGCTCGGGCTCCGCTTTGCCAGCAGTGCTGGTGCTCGAGGATGTAACGGTGCTCTGGACTCACTCGGCTGCTGGTGGCCCTGGCGTAGGGTGAATGCGGCATCCATTGGTCACTCTTTAGCACAGCTGGGCCTTGCTCCGTGTCGTGGTATTTGTATGGTTCGTGAGTACGAACAAAGCAGGATTTGGAGGAAAGAGGTAAACTTCTTTTTTCACACTAGACTTAGTTTTTACCTTCCTGTCAATCAGTTAACAGAAGACATGCCTTCCTGCAAGTCTTGCTCTACTACCCCCACATTGGTGCATGTCTTTTAGCACATCCCTGGGGGCAGATGTGGAAGATGAATATGCTTTGTAAAGGTTTCCAAACACATGACTGCCTAGCACGAGGGGAAAACCTCCAAAATTGCTCTTGGTGTGACCTTTGTTTACCTAATGCCACCTAGAGGCAGCTGACCTGCTTTTCACCAGCTGTTCTGGAAAATATTTTTTCACTTATCTGGGATTACAGCTGCTTTTTTTTTTTTTTTTTAATGAAGATTAATTGGTGTCTTAACCAAGTTTGGATTGATGGAAGGAAACAGAGAAGCCCCAGTCCCTGGGAGAGCCGTCAGGACAGAGCCATTGCTGCATGTGGCCGTGAGCCTGAGGCTTCTGTATGTATGGTTGAAACCTGGATGTTTTCTGTGCTCTCTGCAGCCAGGCCAGGTCTTCCACTTGGCATGGCCAGTGCCTCCTGTTGTGCCTGTGTGCCGGAGAAGTTGTTAAATGAGAAAAAGCATCCTCAGAAGGAAGGTACCAAACATTGAGGGGCAAGCAGGGTAACCACACCCATTTCTGTCTGTGCTGAGGATACTGGGGGGCGAGCCCCTTGCAGGGAGCGGGTCGGGGGGCTCTGCCGCCCTGCGTGGAAAGGCACGGCTGCGACGCACGGCTGCCTACCCGCGTCAACACGAGGTGGCTGCGCAGGGCCTGGACTGTCCTGGGGAAACTGAGGGAGGAGGGACAGAAGAAAAAGGGTTATTACTGAGGCTGTCTTCTTATCGAGTGCTGAGTGAACAGGGTGCATCAGGACAGCTTCGGTTTGAGCCATCTGAAGGCACTAGCTCTGCCTTTCCGAAGCTCTGCCTTGGGTAACGGACGGATGTCCAGATGTCGGGGTGTGCAGGACCAGGTCCTTCAGAAGTCCGAGCTTGGTACGTGTGCCATTAAATGCTTAATCTCTTGGGGCTGGGTCAGGCAGAAAGACTAACAAAAGCCCAACTGCAAAATCAGGAGTGTTGCTCTACACAACCACCTGGCTAGGCCATCACCCTTTTCCTTCTTTTGCTCTTGAGAAAGCACCTAACATGAAGGGTTGGGATGATGTTGCTCTCTGGCTACAATTTCAGCACAGGCAGAGACATCTCTAGCAGTCTTAGTTTGGAACGTTTCTTCCTGTTCATCTATCTCACTGAAATAATCAGATTTTCTAGCTGGATGAAGCTGTGCGTGAACTGCCGTTGTGCACAGGTACAAATAACAGTGAGAAAGCAAGCCTATCTGGGAAAATAACGGAGGGGAGAAGCCTTAGGGTTTGCTCTTCTACTCTTGTCTGTCCTTGGCTAGCAGCCTGCTGAAAACAGCCAGCCAAACAGCTAACTTCAAGGCATTTCAGACAGCAAGTAAACATTCAGTGACGATTTAGTCTGGTCTTTATTATTATTACAAAAAAAGCAAATATCAAAAAACAGCAAAGATTTCACAAGTTCCCCAACAGTTTTACACAACTGAACCGCAATAAAATGGTGAAAATAAAACACGTTATTTCAGTCTTGGCCCTGAATCTTCTACAGCGACCCGTGGTCTGGGATGCCCTGGGCTTTCCTAATTCTTTCTGAAGTACTCTTCTTTATTCTGGAACCTGCTTTGCCCACTAGCTAATACCTGGTGGCCCAGTACATCAGGAATGTGAACAGTCTGGTACCTGTTAAGACCCTACCCACCCAGAAAACAAAACCTGGGAGCTTTGCAGGGATGGCGTGGATACCAGTATGCATCTTCAGATGACCCCAGACATCCACCATGTTACGCTTGACAAAATCAAAGCCCTTTCAAGTTGATGAAACGTCATTTGTTATATGAAAGCTGCTTTTTCTTCTCTTCAGGATCTTTGCTCCCCAAAATAAGAGAGTTCACTGGGTTGGGTTCCAGCGTAAACAGACCATCAACCTTTTAAATTCTATCATGCAAACTCCGTGATAGACAACTTCATCCCGTTGTGACTTTCCCCCGGCAGAGCCAGCATTTGACTGATCACAAGGAACCTGAACAGGCCGTGAGATGTGAGGTTAAGGAAAACACTCAGCTCTCTGGAATGCTAATCAGGGTGGAATGGAGCCTTTGCTTTCTGTCCTATTCACGGCTGCAGGTTCAGAGGCTGACCAAAGGAAATGTGGTCCTATATTAATAGCTGCCCCACTTCTCAAATACAGACCTTACATCAAAAGACTGTTTGGCTAGCGAAAAGAATTAAGACATTGCCCTAAATCCCTCAGCATCTGCTTGGAAAGTCAGGTCCAAGTCTGCCATACTTATACACAAATGCAAATCATCCTAAACACAGAGTTGCAGATGTCACTATACGTGTCACTGAAGTGTTCACGAGTACCAAATATTCCTGTTAGAAATAAAATTGCACCTTCATCATTTTCCAGAATTTAACAAAAGAAGAGATCACAACATGCATTATTTGTCACATACGAAAGAAGCAGCGAGAAGGCAAGCTGAGAGACAAGGCACTGCCCACAGGGCAGCAACGGTATTTGGTGGTTTGGGATTTGTATCAGCACTTCCCATGCCGTGGATGGCAGACAACCACTTGCTGCTGGATTTAAACCGTTTTCCTGGCAGTCAGAACGCGGACAATGGACCCTACTCCTCCAGCAGCCAGGGCCTGAGAAGAGAAACACTGCAATTAACACCAGGTCAAGGTAGCTACGGGCTGAAACAACTACTGACGGGAAAGGCTTCCTGACCGCATTTCAAATGAGCATCTCCCTGTTCTTTACACTGAAAACAGAACGCTCACATTCAGGGTGCCAGGAAAGGATGATCACATTTGCCTTGAAGACAGTGATTTAACAAACTTTTATTTCTCTGCATACGCAAGTTTGCTTCCCTCTAGGAAGGAAATTCTACTTCCATCTGCTTGAATTGCTGGATTGAACCATTCTTTTAGCCTCAGTCTGATAAAAAACTAGATTTTAACTGTAGCATCTTTACCCAAGGGATCAGAAGAAGTAGGCACATGATACAACTACACCGTGAGCTTGCGGGACCGCACCCTCCTCACCGTGTGAAATACAGCACTGCAGTTTTACCAGACAGAAAGGCAGCTCTTACCAGGCTCCCTGAGCATGACCTGGACCCGAGAAGTGGCTAGCATGGATAACCCAGGCCAGAGCACACCCCATAAACGCACCTTTTCGTGCCACTGCAGGAGCACCGCGCTGCTGTTGTCAGAGGGGCTCTCAAAGCCTTTGTAGATGTACTTCATTAGCAGGTCGACGCCGTTCTTGTCCAGCGACTGCACCGCCTTCTCAATATCGTTGGCTTTGAAAGAGATGAGAACCTTCAGGACAATACTTTCTGCACGGTCCTGTCAGCAAATAAGGAAGGCAGAGGTACGTTCACTTCCATATACGGTGCGTTCAGATATTACTCATCTCTCCCACAAACAAAAGTAGGTTTTTAAAAACAATTCTAAAATGGGTTTGATCAGGGTAGTTTGTGCCAAAGCTTGTGATAACAATGTATGACGGGTAGGTCCCCCCAGTGCCAAGCAGCGTAGAGGAGTTCAACGCATTTGTCATACCTTGCCCTAGGTGGTCTGGCTCTGCTTGTGTTTGCCATTCTCCACCTAGTAAATGGGGTCACAGCTAAATACAACATGTTTATATTGAAACTCAAGGTCTGGCAAGTTCCAAAAGAATTCTAAGAATTAAGTATTTGACTGGCCTCCCTTGCCACTAGAGCCTTTTCCACGCTTTGTACTGTTTAATGAGACACAACTATCACATTTGTGGAAATGCCATCTGCAGCCTGGAAGAGGTGACTGCTGGAAAACACACCTTTTCAAAACAGTCAACTTCTGTCCCAGGCACACAGACTGCAAACTGGCACCATTAATGTTTTGCATTTGTAACGATTTGCTAGTTGATCTTGGCGATCACTTCAGGCCCAGGAACGTGCACAATTACAGCAGCAGGTTAGCCATGTCATCAGCAAAAAAGCAGGTTTTCCTGTCTGTTCATCACTGAGGGAGGATTAAAAAGGCCTTGAGTTTGTTGGACTTTGAATAATGCCATTATACAAATAAGTCAAGCAGCTTCCTTCTTCAGAAATTTGTTTTCCCATTCAATTTAATACCCCACAGCCGCTTGCCTTAGCGAGATTTCTCACGTGAAGAACTATTAAGTAAAAGCATAAAAGTTTCATGAGACCAATTAAAGGGAAGCCAAACATTAAAACTCAGTCACTCTGCCCTCTTCAGTTCCACTGCCTTCACAATGTATTCTTAAATCCATCAACACAGAGCCACTGGAAACAAGTCATCACAGTGAGGACAAAGCTGTTCAGTCTCTCATACCTGTAACGAACAGCTGCTTCCCAAATCCCTGTGAAACCCGACAGGAAGGGGCTGGGGCTAGGAGAAAAGATCCCACCGGTGGCCTGGTGAGGACAGCCTGGAACCAGAGCAGCACGGAAGGGTGCCCATGGGACTCTTCTCAAGCAGGCAGAACAGAGCTCTGCAGGCGCTCCCCGTCTGGGTAGTCCCATGCCTTATCTGCCTTTTCCCTTCACCCCTGCAGTCACGAACCATTCAAGGTTTATTCTGGGGAGACTCAGAAATACGTGCACGCAGCGGGCTGCTATGTTCTGTCACAGGGGGGGTGCTTGTGTTTTCTGAGGTTTTAACAGCTTCATTCTGACCGGGTGCGATAACCATCACTTCTTCCTTTTCTGTAGGTGCACAGCCTGGCTGTGCCAGCAGCGCCTCATGGGACAGAGGTGGCTGCCGCAGCTGTGGATGGGATTATCATTCAGCGGATCGCACCTACGTGCTGCCAGGTCTGGATCGGGCACGGGCACCTGGTGATGTGTGGAGTTAGCCAGGGCACACAATGGGCAACCAAGGCACCAAGAACACGCAAAACCTGAACTAGCACCAAGTTAAAGGTACGTGGGCAGGTGACAGCCGAGCTATGGTATTTTGAGCAAGATTAAAACAGCAGAGGTCACAGATGCTTTGACATCAGGGAATATGCTAAAGCCAGCTTCCTCAAAGCACACCTGGCAGTACTGGTGGGGTAGGGGCTGTAGAAGAAGAAAGGATTTTTAAGGAGTAACCCATGAATTAGGTATTATCTCACCTTCACCGCCTGGTTCTTTGTGTTGATAGGAGGGTTCTTCAGAGCCGCCTGTAGCGCAGCCATCATGTTCCCTGTGCCAGATGGTTAAGGACCAGACACCAAGCCTTTGGAAAGCAACAGAACCAGCTCCAGGGCAGCGACATCGGCAGCTGGCTCGTGTGTTGACTGAAGATACTTAAGGTTCAGTGACGACCCCGATTCCCCCAACAGACAGCACAGATGACAGCGTAAGGTAACAATTATCAGGCCATTTAAGGAAGGAGCAGCACCAACAGGAAGCTGTACAGTTCCGGTATTGGAGAATACCTCTTAGGCCCTTCCTTGGGCGAGGATGCGAGTAAAAGAAATTTTTTCTCCATCGCTTGTGCAATTTGCACCTCGGAAACAGCCAGCCCGGCACCTCCATCTCCC